TATATAGCCAATTCAGACTGTGTTCATGATGTGATTTCAAAAATTAGCCTTGGAGGTTTGTGAATCTATTGAAATTAAAAGGATAAAGATGTGTTGGCATAAAAAGAGTCGGTCGGTGCTTTTTAATGTTTTCTACTATTGTTATAACAGCTTTCTAAACGGCTGCATCATAGCCTCACTCGGTTCCCTTCCTAGACTGCAGCAAAAGTCCGTGATTATTATTTAAGGATCACGGTGATTCCCTTCACTGCATGGGGGAATAAAGAACAGCAAAAGCAGGGCTATTATCCTGTGTTTATAACAAGTCTATTACCATAGTAACGCCTGTGATGTCACAAATGCTACACCCAGGGCCAGAGGCTGTCTCTGAGGGGGAAGGGCAGTTTAGCTTTGGAAAAGGGACATGGGCCTGGGAGGCCAAAGCAGGGTCAATGCCTGAGGTAATCATGGAAACAGGGAGCTCCCTTCTCCAGAGAAAGAGGGGGTGGGGCGGGCCCAGGAGTGAGCTCACCCACACTTCTTGTATGCAGCTGTGCAAAGGCCGTGGAGATCCAAGCGAATGTGGTATCTCTGTGTTCCCAGTCACGAGCATTCCACTGGGCTCACTGGGCTGCCAAGACGTGAATGGGATCCAGCGGTGAGGCTGCCTTAGCCATGAAACTGCTGGGAACCAGTGCCTGCCCAGACAGAGCCGCTAACACCCAGAAGGGAGGCAAGTGCCTCAGATGGCAGCCCTTGGAAGCTAGGCCCTTCCTCTAAATGACCATTGGACTCGCAGACCCCACAGATTCTCAAGGACAGTGAAGGGATCAAGACTCTCCCAAAGACAGGGGACCTTTAGGATGGACATGCAGAGAGAAGCTGTACCTCCAGCCACTGTGGAACCTGGAAGTGATGACATGTGGCTCAGCATTACTGATCTGAAACAGCTTGGAATGAAACAGCTTAGGAGTCAGGAGACCCTAAGTACTCAGAGGACACATAATCCAAGGGAGCTATTTAACCTGCTTGGACTCATGTCTTTAATGACACCTGACCTGTTATTGCTCAGTTACTATAAAAACTGAATTAAATAAAAGAATGTGGATGAGGACCGAGGAGACGGGTCGGCGGGTAAAGCGCTGGCCGCGGAAGGGTGGTGACCTAAGTTCGATCCCCAGAATCCACACAGGTAAAAAGAGAACCAGCTTCACAAAGATGTCCTTCGGTCCCTCCGCACTGCACACGCTCCCACACGCATCATCACGCACACGCAAACTTTAAACTTAAAACATTCATTCAACAGACACTAGAGCAGACCACTTTGTAAGCCCAGGAAAACCACTGCTTCCTTGCCCTTGCCAGAGCTTACAGTACTACCCAGGACACCTGCCACAGCCACAGCCTGCCTGCCTCGGGAGCCCTGTTCAGCTGCCACAGCCACAGCCTGCCTGCCTCGGGAGCCCTGTTCAGCTTTCTGGCACCATAAGAACTGACTAATCTTAACCCGCCTAGCATGAGGTCCAGCCAAAGCCCTGCCCACCATGTATTTTAAGTTTCAATTTTTTTGGTAAATAGGGTTTTGTTGGAACACAGGCACACTCCTTGATGCATGCGTCATCTAAGGTTGCATTCCTGCTCCAGCGTATGTTCTGGGCAGCTGTGAGAGACAGTATGGCCCACAAAGTCTACGGTACTGCCAGACTCTTCACCAGAAAGGTTTACTAAAGTGGCCCTCTAGTTGATGCAATCAAAAGTCGTCTCTTTGGTGAGTTTCTGCTTGGTGAGACCTAGAAGGCAGAGAACATCCAGCACCTTGTCATATAGAACCTCGAGGCAGACAGGGCAGGGTTAGAACAGACACAGAAAAGTAAAGACGTCCTTCTCTACACTCTGTTTTCCACAGATGAGTGCCTTGGAGTTCCACAGCAGACAGCAGAAAACCACTGGTGTTTGGTTACCCTGGCTTCTAAGTCCTCAGAGTTCCTCCGGCTACGACTTCCAAGGCTCAGTCTTTGGCCTCCAGCCTTCTGCATCTTTATTTCCTGATCTGGTGTGGAATTCCAGTTAAGTAGAAGCTGTGTGCTTGACTTCCACGTGGCTGGCTCCACAGGAGACCTCAGGGCAGGTCCTCTGGCCTCGTTCCTGCTCAAAGCCTCAGCTACGCTAACCTCTCAATATGGCGTTTTCTTTGCCCAAAAAAACCTTTTTTTTTTTTTTTTTTTTTTTTTTTTTGGTTTTTCGAGACAGGGTTTCTCTGTGTAGCTTTGCGCCTTTCCTGGAGCTCACTTGGTAGCCCAGGCTGGCTTCGAACTCACAGAGATCCGCCTGCCTCTGCCTCCCGAGTGCTGGGATTAAAGGCGTGCGCCACCAACGCCCGGCTGCTCAAATACATCTTAGAGATGGATTTGCATCGGGATGCACACCTTTCTGTGCACAAATTCTGTGCATGAAGAGACAAGTGCAGATTGGGGCTCAGAAAAAAAAAAAAAAAGAAAAGGAAGAAAAAAGGAAACGAGGTACCGGGTTTGCTCCCTAACTTTCACGTGGCAGCTCTCACGCCAGGTGCCTGGTGTCCCTCCTCATCTCCACAGCCCCCTGAGGTAGGCCTGGGGGGCATTCTAAAAAGGAGCAGTGCCCACAGAACCTGTCCCCTTTCACAGTGCTGGTGAGTGACAAAGCGTAGATCTAAACCCAGGTTTTCTCAGTCTGCAGCCTGAGTTCCCAACACTCCGTCATACCCACTAATTAACACACTTGCGGCCTCATCGAAGCCACAGACTATGCATCCAGTTGGGAACACTACATTTACAAAATCACCTACCCTTTTCTCACCAACTGGCCTGTGCAAAATGAACCTTTGGTCCTTGGGAGATAAACTCTGGTCCCTCTGTATCATTAAAACAATCAACCAAAGGAAAACAGGATCACCAATAAAGGAAAAAGTATATGATATGCCAGTTATGGTAGTAATTAGCACTAACAATGATTTTAAGGACAAATGAGTTTTAATTTACTAAGATATCTAATGACCTCTTATGATAGGTCAGTTTTATTTGTTAAAATATAGTAGGCCAACCAGAGAATGTGGCCAAAACCATGAAGGAATGCTTAGGACAATGCATTATCACATCTGTAACACAAGCTGAGGAATCCCTACCTGAAAATGCCCTCACTGTTTATGGAACATCTATCCATAACTAAACATCTATCCTCTCAAACATGAACACAAGCATTGGTGCTAGCATGTTACAATAAATACTGCTATTATAACTCTGTATTTGTCAATGTTCAATTCAACACACACAAAAATAACTAGTAATAAAACATTCTAGCATAATTCCAACATGTTACAGCAAGCCAGAGTATCACTGAGTATTTGCATGAACTACATCTGGAAGCAACAATGAACATCACTGTGCTCAGCCCTCCAACACCAAGATTTAATGCACAGCCATCTAATTTTCTGGAAATATAAAACAACTGATTACATTTTCATGTGGAACTCAGATTTCCATCCTTTCAAGCGCTCAGAGAGACAGCTTCCCAGGAATTAAGAGAGAATTCTGTGGAGACGATGCAAAAGACAACTTGTTTCTTGAAAGGATTTAGAGGAAGGCACGTGCAGGAACATGTCTGCCATGTCTTCTTACAGAACTGTCCCTTTCCTCAGAAAGCCCCCAAAGACCTGGTCCTCCTTAGGCCCTACCCTGTTCAATCATGTGTACATTCTGTTTACCAGTCATAGTATATATTTTATTCTTAAAGGGAAAAAAAAAACAAACAGGTGACTTCAGAAAAGGAAAGCATCTTTTTTCTGAGTCTGGTGGTAGAAAAAGTCTGGTTTCAGTTGAATGCTACAGCCCAGGCAGAAAGAGAAGAGGAAAGTTTTGGGATAATAGCAATAATACTTTAAGCAATATGTGAGCTAACACTTATCTATAACAGTCATCAAACCATCTTCATTTAAGTTGAGTTTTTAATAATTTGTCTTAAGACGGTGAAAACAACTGTATACAGACTGTTACGGTTGGGAATCCCAGTGGTGCTTACCTGCTGGCGGCTTTATGAAAGGTGGTGGAATTAAAGGTACAATAATGGGCACATTGCCATGGTCCTTTGACCCTGCAGGTGAGTCACTGAGTCCGTTCCCAGTGGCAAGGCCTGAATAGCCTGCGCTTATATTGTATGATGAAATAACACTGTCCTCTGGTAATTTTGGTTTTGGCAAAGAATTTTCTGTAAGAGAAAAAAATAATCATTCAATATAACCAAGAACTTATTCATTAGCATTTAATTTTTCCTTATTTCTTCAAGCACATTGGTTATGTAACAGAACAAAATTTTCCTCACAAACATTTAAGCAATTTCCCAGAACTCTACAGTCCATCCTGAAGCTTTATAGTTCTGCTACCAACAATTCCCAAAGGGCTTTTCTTTATAATTTGCTCCACTATGATAGCTAATATCCCAGTTGAATCATGGTGATGAATTTTAGCACTGTAAAATCCCACAGAAAATTGAGAGGCAATTAACCTTTTCCTTGTACAAAGTGATATATAGCAAGCGTCACTCTCTGGCTATGAGGGGAAGCCTAAAATGTATCCCAGAATGGTAGCCATGTCACGCTGCATTGTAAATCTAAGCCATGGTATAATCAAATGAACCAAGTGATTTAAAAACAAAAACCTACTATTGCACTGGGTATGGGTAATATCCATTAAAAATTAACAAAAATGGAAATAAAATTTACAACGTAGTGCATTTTATATCTTTGTGTCACAGAGAAATGGGGAGGAGGTGGGGAGGAGAAAGAGCGTTTCAACCATGAGAAGCGTGGGACTCTTTCCACGTTCCCCAGAGGCAACGATGATTACCCAGGCGAAGTTCTACAGAGGCTATTAGTTTATAGACTATAAGCTCAGGACTTGCGTTTTTTCATTTACAGTGAAATTGATGATACTATCTCCATAACATGATGTGTACAATTTCATAGCAAGCTTAACATAAAATTTGTCATGAACATTCAATTCCACATGCCTGCAGGACGGCTCATTTACATTTCATTGCCTGGCATCTAAGAAGAAAATACTCTTTCTTAAAGACTGGGAAGAAAATAGTTGAACAGGTATTATGCCAATAGATTTCGATGTAACACAAACACTGAGCCAAGAGCCAGTGATAATGAACAGTTAGTTGTACCCACATTTGACTAAAATGCCTTCACATGTTCCTCCTCTTTTATCTTATACACAGACTCTCGTTCCAGATTTAGGTTTACTAATTCTGGAGTCATACAGGCTTCCTGCTGTCCACTCAGAATCCGTGTAAATTCCGCTCTGCCATTCCTCTGCAATCTCCATGCTCTCGCTGGGCTCTGATCTAACCCTCTACGTGTTCTGCTCTCTTTACCCTCTTCAAGAGCGTGGGGCAGCCAGCGAATGGGGGAAACGACACACAGAACGAAAATAAGGCTTCCTTCTAGAATTCCCATCCACACATAGTGAAGGAGGCTCACAAGAAAACAGTGAATTCCCCTGCTATCTCCACACACAAACCCAACACTGCACACCCGGAGAGCCCCGGTCCCCGGCACGGATGACGAGTTAAAGGGGACCGTGGAGCTCAAAGTCAGCGAGCACTGTTTCTCTGAACTTTCGGCAGGACCACAGCGCTAAGGTCCTCGGTCCTGGCCTGGTTTTCCCGTTGCTGGAAGGACACGGAGCCGTGTCTATTTTTGTTTTCTGTTGAGCTCTGATGTTCTGTGGAACTCTGCTTACAGGAAAGCACACTGGGAATACACTTGCAGCAGAGCGTCTGGAACCCTCCCACTCCCAACTCCCTTTCACCAAGGAACTTCTACACCACACTGGAGGTGTAGGTATGTAAAATATGTGTGCAAATCAGACATTTGCTGATAACACATCGTACAGCAACTATCTTAAGGCAATTCTTTCGTCATTATACATGCAATTTTGTTATTTATCAAAGATGAAAGCAAATTTGTATATTAATGAGACAGATGTACTTGAGTGATTTTACATAGGGAAGTAAATCTTGGCTGAATATCTGATACAGTGTGATATAGAACGTCTTCAACATTTCTCAGCATTGATCTACATTTTGACTTACAATCAATACTGAGAATGCCACTGTACAGAATACATAGTACAAAATGGCAGAAGCATGTTTATAGCCATTTTGGAAATTATTGGAAATTCTGTCCTAATCCCAATCCAAACTTTATTTAGTGATTTTTAAAATGCAATTCAAGGCAGCCACCCAAATGACATTTTTAAAAAGCCAAATATTCTAAGACAATAAATCCAAAAATACACTAATTTGGTACTTAAATGTTGAGTACTGACATTGGAAAATATGAAGTCTTTGCTTTCCATAATTAAGCAATTACCTTTCTACAAGAGTAGAGAACTTCATATGTATAGTAAGAACACTGCGACTCATAATACACAGTATTCTTGAGTTTGAGCTCAGGTGTCTCGGGAGGCATTTGTTGTCACTGTGTGGCATGACAGCTTGCATGGGGCAAAGCACTCATGCTGTGTGTTCAGAACCAAGGCTGCAGTGAAGTCCTATGATGCATCCCATGCATGTACTTTTAGGAATGCCTCAAATGCATTACACATTGCAGTGAATCTGGGACCACTATATCTTCCAAAACCTTTTACTGCTGCCAAAGTTTGCCCAACTCCCACATTTAGTTACTCAGTCCCATATGGGTCACAGCCCACAGTGTGAGGAGCTGAACTTTAAGCTAGCTGTATGCATAACAACAAAATGAGACCCACAAGCATTCAGTTCTGGCAAGTGGAGACGGTTCATTCTTGTCTGCATGAGCAAAGAGCCATTAGACACCTTTACCTTTGAGAACAGAAATGTGCTGCCGGCTCTCCCCATCAGTAGGGTAACTCCTGAACTCAATGTCTTCACCGTCTTTTAATTCAACTTTATCATAGCCATACCAGCCAAGAAGTTCATTCATGGTGTTCTCTGCAAAGTTCTGAAAGAGAAGTAGAAGCTACTACTCAATTCTGTAATCAATAATTATTTGAAAAAAATGTACAAGTTCAATTCTTTTAGCCGTATCCCATTTCATGCCAGCCCCACTCCCCCTAGAGGCCTGTTCACTTTTCAATCATGTTCAAGGTTGTAATGCATTTAAATTGCAGAATGATTCATCTAATTATGACAGGCCTTCAGACACTGGCAATTTAAAGACAATAAAGAGGTACTTGTCGACTTCATCTACGAATAGGAAAACTTACTTTTTAGCACATTCTGCAAAGTTTAAATTCTACAGGATTACAAAAATATTGAAACATGCAAAAAAACTAAGAAAATATTTTGAAAATGAGCTTTTTGTAGTTCTAATTAATTTAAATTAGAATTGCTTTCTGACTCACTGTTGTTACTTAATGTGCCTCTTACTACAAATAAAACAGTCTCAACAGAAAAATAATTTCTCAATTGTCAACCAGTATCATACAAAAACCTAACTAAATTTCAAGGGTCCCTCTTTACAATTTTCCTTTTATAAAGGCATTTGTTAACTTGATGGATACTTTGCTTTATAAATTGCGCTAGTGACAGATTCATTCTCCATGAAATCAAGGTTACTACGTCTTCTGATAAGTGACTTAAAAGTGCCAACACAGTTGAAGGTTACAAGTCAGTTAGATTTTGGATAAAACAATTTTATCAACGATAAGCTAATACATGAGTGTAAGGTATTGTTGCTGTTACTGGAGATATCAAAGTTTGAAAATAGTGTATATGGTTGACAGATTTAATACTTAGGCCAAGTGATTGTGTCTATCAATTTATCAATTGCTAGAGCCAGAAACAAAATGTGAGTCTGTGTGTGCTATTGATCTTTATGCTTAAACAGCTATCAAGCAACCATACGCCTCCTAGGCTGAACTGGGAAAACTATAGATCCTAACTTCTTTGTAGTTCAGAGAATCTTATATTCTTTTTCTTAGATACTGTCATTTCTAAATTCCACTGGCGTACATAATTTATATACCTAAATGAAGCACCAAGGCCAAGCCTGAATGTAGGGACCCTCAGCATGTGTTTTGTTTTTCTTAAATTCTATGACTTAAGAGCTCAGAAGGGCTCCATTAAAGATATTACAGTGCTGATCCCACAGAAATAAACCTGGCATTTCAAACCACCCACAGGATGCTACTTTTTTTTTTTTTTTCGTTAGTACCCACTCAAGTTCTAAGATCCAACTGGGTCGATCTATGATGGTTCAGAGCACTAGGAATTAAAAAAAAAAAAACAGCCAGATTGATTCAGTGTTACCATCCATATGGCCAACAGCCAGCCATATCAATCTTTAGTGAGGCATTTATTCTCTCTGATGGCTGGCTGTGTCCACATTAAATAGACATTCTTTCCATGAACGCACGAAGATGACATGCTCGCTATGAATAATAAGCGTAGCAGCTTCAGGAATACCACTGAGGAAGACTGGGCTAAGTGCTGTTCCATTTAATCAAAGGAGATCCCTTTAATGAGATGCCACTCTCCCCTAAGACCCAGTTCTTTCACTAACCCGAGAGTGACAGTATCTCAGCACACAAACCAAGGTCCTCCACCAGAGGTCTGGCAGCAGACATCTCCGAGGATGATTCTTGCCTTGCATCAAAATCTATTCCCAGCAGTAGTAAAAGCCAAGCTCAAGCCATCCTGTTGGTCTATTTGCTGCTTGTCCCAATCTCTAAGAGAACTGTGCCAACAAGATAGATGTTCCTCTGCACAGTACTCCTGGCTCCTACATCTGGTTTTGTGTCCCCTTTCCTAGTTCAGTCTGAAGTCTCCTGGTACCCTGCTTAGTAGACACTACTTTCTCCACTGTGTCTAAGTTCTGAAATCACACAAAGGGCCACAGACGCATAATTCATGCATTAGCCTCCCAGATGAGAATATAGATTTGTTTGTTTTAGTCCAGCTGCAAATCCATTCATTCATCCTTTCAGAACCAATCTGAGGGATACATGTAGAATTTTCAGACATCAGATAAAAACTGAAACCTCAACTGGATTATTAACACCAAAGTCATATTATTTGGACATTTTTTTTTTTTTTTTTTTTTTTTTTTTGGTTTTTCGAGACAGGGTTTCTCTGTGTAGCTTTGCGCCTTTCCTGGAACTCACTTGGTAGCCCAGGCTGGCCTCGAACTCACAAAGATCCGCCTGCCTCTGCCTCCCGAGTGCTGGGATTAAAGGCGTGCGCCACCACCGCCCGGCTCTTATTTGGACATTTTAACAAAAACAAAAACTCAGTTTTATTTGTTTTCTGGTGGAAACTCAGAGGTTTCATGAAACAGTTGATATGAATTTGATCTATTCCATGATTTTTGAGTTACAATAAATGTCAGAGAAGTAACTATAAAATATTCCTTTTCTTGTCACTGAAAATGAAAATAAATGCCATATTGTTCTGATATATGAGTGCAGGGGCAGGAAACAAGGGGCATATAGGAACTCAAATGATAAATCTCAAACCATTTGAGAAGGAAGGAACACGGTCAAAAAGAGAAATTGAATATATATACATATATATATACACATATATATGTGTGTGTGTATATGTATACATATATATATTCATAAGAAATAGACTAGAGGGGTGAGAAAAATGGCCCAGCAGGTAAGAGCACTGACAGCTCTTCCAGAGGACCCAGGTTCAATTCCCAGCACCCACAAGGCAGCTCTCAACTGTCAGTAACTCTAGTTCTAGGGGGATCTGAATGTCCTCTTCTGACCCCTATGGGTACTGTACACATGTGGGACACAGACATACATGCAGGCAAAACAGCCACACACATAAAATAAATAATAAAATTAAAACCAAAAAGAGATGGAGTATAAACTCTCCTGTATCCACTGCTGAATTAAGAAGCCAAATGTCCTCAAGGAGTGAATCATTTAATAGCCTAAGTTTCTAGACAGAGTTTAATATGCTTGGTAGCACATGGACTCATTATGTTGCAAACCAAATAAACGAAAGAAGAGATCTTTGCCACTGTCACCTTACATTCCAGGAGAGGTAAATCATGAAACGTTTATGGCCCAGACACGTTTTCAAACCTTTCTTGTAGAGAATTCCAATAACTATTGCTTCAGTTTTAAAACAAAACAAAACGGGATCTTACTATATCGCTCTGGCTGGCTGGAACCTCACTCTGTAGACCAGGCTAACCTCAAACTCACAGAGATCTGCCTGCCTCTGCCACCGAGTGCTGGGATTAAAAGCACACCTGCTTCATGTTCCAACATTCTTACAGTATTGTCCTTTAAAAAGCAATTTTCAATTTAAAAGTTAGTCCTTTCTTATGTTGTTTCTTGTTTGTTTGTTTAAAAGGGGGGTGGACAAAGATGATAAGAGTTAAAACTCTGGATAACTGCAAAGGCAACAACGCTCCATATTAACTGGAGACAGATGCTGCTGTGCCGGGGAGGAGTGGACTGGGGCATGGAATGTGCTTCCTCAAAGCTTCAAGCAGCATTTCTCCTGAAGACCTAAGGTGGGAAATGTCTCCACAGTTAAGAGTTCTGGCTGCTCCTCCAAAGGACCCAAGTTCGAATCCCAGCATCTACATAGCAACCTGAAACCACCTGTAGCTCCAATTCCTGGCACTCAGACGCCCTCTTCTGGCCTCCAAAGGCACCAGGCACACATGTGGTGCACAGACATACATGTATGCAAAACACCCAAACACATAAAATAAAATTTCTTTCAAAGTTCCTCCTAGCTTTAGAACTAGATGAAATCAAGGAACTTCTACTTATGTGAAAAACAAAGCAGCTTTTGCAAATAAATCTGAAAATGACGGTGATCACACAACATGAATTTTACTGAGCAGTCATTATTTCAAATACTTTATCATTGCTCTCAGGAACCATCAAAACGTGCCAAAAAATGCAGTGCTTTGGCATCTGAGTTGCATTTTGCAGACTGCTTTCTTGCCTTTGGAAGTGACACAAAAATCCTCTCTCATACTATGTGGTCCAATTTGGGTTTGGAAAATAGGTCATAAAATTATAATGGTAATTTCTAAGTCTTATAGCACTTTGCAGCGTTTCCACATCCTTTAGCTCTGTGCTCCTTTCAATGGCCCTGTGTGTTGGGTGTTTAATTTCCACAATAAACTCCTGGTGAACCGACGTGAATTCCTCATTTGACAACAGAAAATCAGAGCATGGCATTATGGAGCATCATAAAACCAAAATAGAGGTTTTCCCATTCTTTTTTCTCTAATTTTTAAAAAATTTTCACACACGAGTACTATATTTACACTATTTTCACCCCTCCCTCTTTCCCCTCCAATTCTTCCAATGCCCCCAAACTACCTCTCAAATTTATTACCTCTTCTTTATTATTGTTACACATATAAACACATGTAAATACACACATACACACACACACACACACACACACACACACACACACGCACGCACGCACACATTATTGGGTCCATTTTGTTATTGTGCACGTCATATGTGCTTAAGGGATTGGACCACTTGGGATTGGATACTATCGGACGGCTTATCCCTGGAGAAGACTGCGTCTCCCCATCTCAGCAGCCATTAACTGCCCGTAGATCTTCACTTAGCAAGAGTTCCTCCATCCTTGGTGTGTCAACTGGTGGTGTCATTTTGCAGGTCTTGTTTGGGCAGCCACGTTGCTGAGGTCACTCTTCTGATTCTCACGCCAGGCTTAATTCTACTATAGAGTCAGCGGCAAAGGGTCCAGCAATCCCAAAGAATTTACCTCCCGGGCCAATCAAGAACTTACAGAGAAATCAGAGCACAGGATGTCAGCGTCATCAAGTGATTTCCAACCCAAACACATCTGCCGCTGGAGAAACTGTGCTTGCATTGGGATTGGCTCATTGGCCTCTACTCTCCATAATTAGTTGTATTGTTGGAGATGGGATGTTCAAATTTCACAGTTAAAACCGAATCTTCCCATTCTGCAACTTTTTGA